TATTCAAATCCATTTCTTCCGAAGAGCTCCTGGGTCAGACATACAGAGAGACAGTGGGTGACCCCGGGCTCCAGGAAGCATGGGGTTGTATATTCTAATCAGTTCCAGCCCCTGGGAAAACTGGGACACAGTAACATTCAGAAGACACTGTAGTAAAGTGGCAAAAAGCGTGGTCTCTGGGTTCAAATCCTGGCCCTGTCTTTTCCTTGCTGTGGGACATTAGGAAAATTCTGTACTGAGCTAAGTGCACTTCAGTTTATTCACTTATCAATGGGGACAATAGCACCAAGAGTGAAATGAAGTATGTCAAGCGACTCATAGAGAGCGCTCCAGGTTTGCCGCTGCAAACATCTCACCAACCACTGCCAGGGGTTTCCAGCCTTCTGGGCCCTACTTGCATGTCTTCCTGCTCCCTGGAGCCCTGCCCACCTGGCCTCTCTTCTCCCCTCTCTTCCTCCGTCACTTCCCTTGTGGCCAAGATGGCAGCTTCCCATGTGTGGGACTTGCCCCTCCAAAGTCCACAACTGGGAGTCTCTTATTTTGCCAGCACTCCCTGAGTCTCTTTAGCTGGCATGTGTGGGTGGCACCTGCAAAATCATGGATTTCTCACTGGGGACCCTCCAGGAATGGGGTATGCCAGTGCAAAAGGTAGAGGAAGCTTGGGGTTTCCCTAAGATACATAGTGTGGTCTGGGCAGCTGGCTACGCCATAGCACCAGCCCTGGTTGGCTGCCTGTGGAGGTCACAGTTGTCTGAATGTTGACTTTAACTTTCATGGTGCCCAGCCTGCCCAGGATGAGGAAATACACTTGGATCCACCCATAGGTCAGGTAGGATGACCTCTCTTCTGCTTTCCCCACATATCACCCAGCCTGGGGTGAAGAGCACTGAGCCACATCCTTCTTTCTGTGCCAGAAGAAGAAAGGATTAACTCTCACAGAGAGACTGAGCAAACCCAAGAGGTGCCATAAATCTGCTTAGAGTCCAGTGAGCCTAAGGGAACATTTAACATGCCCACGCCTGAGGTTTTTCCAGTCCCCTTTGACGTCTTAGCCCCAGAGCAGGAAGTGAACACAGCCACCAGCTTTCTGCTTTACTCAGAAAGCAGGGATGGGAGAATCAGGTTCCATTGTCCAGGGAGAGTAAGTGGCTAGGCAGGACGTGTCTGCACCACTCCGCAGGTGAACTGAGCACTTAGTTGCAGGGGAGTGGGGAGCAGTGGGGAGAAGGAGGCCCTAGGCGCCCATACCTGCTGGTTGTAGAGTATTCTACGAACAAAATCTGCCCTGTCTTTCCTTGAGACCACAGCGTGGTTTGGCACCACAGCCAGGTGGCAGCTCTGGACCTCAGTCACAGGCTTCCTGGTACCATCGAGGCACAGCAATTCAAAGTCATCCTGCTTCAGATTCTTGGCCCATGCCTCCTGGTTCCTCCCTGGGGAGGGAAAGAAGGTGAATCAGCCATAACTGGTGGGTGTGGTCAAGGTGTCCTCATCGAGAGGGGAGGGAATGTGACCAACCACCAGTGCCTGGGAGAGTCATAGAGACACAGATGAAAGAATAAAGCTTTTAAAACAAAACAAAAGAGAAAAATTCTAAATCATAAGTTCAGAAAACTTTCTGGCTAGTGTTTTTTTCCATCCTGTTAAAGGTGAAGATTTGTTAAACAGGCCTGAAAAGGCCCTAGTGA